ACCGAATGTCCAAAAAAGAAGGTTAGGATATTAATTACAGATTTTGATCAAATAAGAGACGAATGTGAAGAAGTTAACTTTGAAGAAATAGAAACCGATGAAGAAATTTTTGAGAAAGAAATATCTAGTGAAAATGAATACAATTAGTTTTTAAAATTATTCTAAAGTTTGAGGATATGTTTTGCAATAAAAACCCATTTCATTAAGGGTAAAATTGAGTTTTTAACAAAAAGCCTAAAAACCTCTAAGTTGATCGGCCATTTATGAAAACCTCCTGAACATTCACTCCAAAGAAACATAAAATAATAAGTCTCCGTTTGGTTATGCTGGAAATCTTTTTTACTAGTGGAAAGTTCCATTAGATACGTGACTGACAATGGATTTCAAAAAAAATCACTTTTGAAAAATGGGAGCCAAACAAAGGCTAAATAAGCTAGGAATTTTTGTGAGTTGTAAACCATTTTCTAGAAAAGAGAAATAAAATAAAGAAAATTATTTTTGAATTTCACTTTGTTTTGATAAAATTTTACTTTTCAATAAATGAGTGATTGTTGGGTGGATGATATTTGTAGTCCTACGAAATGTATGATTAAAATTAATTTTTAACTTTAAAAATAAAATATTATTAGAAGAAAATAAAACCTAAACGGAGTAATCACATTAGAGAGGTGTTCAAAAAAAAAAAAAAAAGGCCACTTCTTAAAAACTTTTGTGCAAATGGCCATTTTAGTAAAAGTTGAATCCAAAAATCTACATAAAAAAACTTATTTTTCATCATATTTTTAAAAAAATAAATAAATAAAGTGCAAAAAATATTTTTTTTCTCTTTTCAAAACATGAAAACAAAATATATTGATATAAATCATCATCATGGATGAGACATGCTAATTAATTGAATGTTGATGATAAAAATTCGATGAAAGAAAGTTAAGAAAATAATTGTTACAATGAGCAAGGATCGAGAAGTTTAATGCAATTAAAATATGGTGTATCAAATAAAAATTATGGTGACAATGTAACTACCCAAAAAGTAACACTCTTCAAGTAAACATTTAGTAATAGTGGGACAAAAATACCCTTAAAAGGTAACTCAAATTCCATATAAACCCCATCAGAAATTATCGAAACCATTTCTCTCTCTCTCTCCTCATTTCATGTTATGTCTTCACCATTTTCTGTAACCTCTTCTTCGTCACATTATTTCTCTCTAGTCACTACACCAAAAAACACAATTTGCAACACATAAAAGGCAACATTTGGTAGTTAAATGTTGCTAAATGGATCTATCGCAACATTCTAATACGTGAATGTTGCCATTGCTTAACGAAATTGAGCTTTGACAACATTTTTTAAGTCAATGTTGCTAATATTGCCTTTTTGCAACGTTTTTCCATTTTTCGCAATGTTTAAAAAATGTTNTTTCGCAACGTTTTTTAAGTGTTGCAAAATTTTTTATTTTTCGCAGCGTTTTTTAAACGTTGCGGAAGACAAAGCTTTTTGCAACGTTTTTTAAACGTTGCGAAAAACATCTTTAGCAACGTTTTTTAAACCTTGCGAAAAGCGTCTTTCGTAACGTTTGAAAAACGTTGCTAAAGAGGCTTTTCACAATTTCTTTTAATTTTTTATGATCTTTTCGTAATGTTTTCTAAAAAACGTTGCAAAAAATCCATGCTTCAATCAAAAAGCCCTCTCGTCTCTGCGTATCCCCAGTCAAAGCCTCTCTTCTTCTCCCTGCTCTCTGCAGTCAAAGCCCTCTCTCTGTAATCAAAGCCCCAACTTTTCGCGATTTTGCCCTCAGGGTGGAGGCAGCGGCGGCGGGCGACAATGTTGTGTGGGGTTGAAGAGTGGTGAGAGGTCATGGAACATGGCTTGGGATACGCCGGCGCGCTGGCTACACCATCCTGACTCGGCTTGGCTCCTCTTTGGCTACACCATCCTTTCCACCACTCTCTGCGTATAGTACAAGCGCGCTGAGCATAATTTTGGTTGTTTGCTTTATTTTATTTTTTTAATTTGGTTTTTGATTCATATGACTTTCTCGGTCCACGGTATTGATTATTTCAGAGGCATTTGTTTTTTCTAAA